TGAGTGCACTCCTCTCAAATCATTTTCCAATTGAAGATGTCAGTGGATTTAGCAAAACTAGAAATGACGTGAGCAGGTCGAAGATTAAATTCCATTTTAAAAAGGTTTCTTTTCTTGCCACCCCCAGTGAAAGGTGCAGTGGATGGAGAGAGGAGAGGCTCCTGAAGCAGCGCTGCCTGGGTCTGAAACGCTGCCCTGCTGTTTCCCACCGTGGCCGTCCACAAAAGACGTCACTGCTCCAGACGTGAGTCTCCTCATCACCACAGCGTGAGGAGCTGTATTAAAGGGTTGCAGATTAGGAAGGTTGAGAGTCACTGACTTAGAAGAAAGTCCCTGTTAAGTAAAGAGTACCTGGCTCTTTCAGGCTTGTGTTCTTGGGAAATGCTATATAGCCTGATAGTTGCTAATGTAGTCAGAACAAGAAGAATCGAAGACTGGTTTCATAACAATTTACCACCGCACACAGAAAATGCTTAGCTTTTCTCAGATTCAAAATGCTAACAGAAGAAGATAACCATGTGAGTAAATCTTAGTGGAATTACACGTTGAAGATGAATATTGATCAATGAGTTTCAAAATTATCAAACTCTAGTTGCTCAATTAGGGTAGTTAGTAGTAGCAGGCGTCTATGGAAAGTCAGGTCCAACTAAAATTTTTGTTTTGGTTTTGTTCTGTTATTTTGTTTTGTTTCTGTCTTGAAACACAGTCTTGCTATATAGCCCAGTTTAGCCTCAAACTTGCAATTCTTGGGGACTGGGGAGTTGGCTCAATCAGCAAGTCTTTGCCATACAACTATGAAGACCTAAGTTGGGATCCATGACACCTACATAAAAAGTGAGTGCACTGGCTTGTGTCTGTAGTTCCAGAGCTGGGTTAGGGCAAGAATAGGAAGAACCCTAGAACACACTGGCCAGACAGAGACAGAGACAGAGAGAGAGGTAGAAGAACCGCACTGCAGCTGATAGCCGCATCACCTTGCATCAGAACCCTGTGTTTGTGTATTCTTTTCCTTCCAGACACCCCAGATTCAAGATCCACCTCTCTGTCCAGGTTGGTCACCAGCAACTGGCACCCAATATGGTGGGGCTCAAATCATATTGGGTAAGTACTCCTTCACTTCATGGTCTGGTAAGGACCCTACTCAGAAAATTCCGTGGTCCTCTGCGTCAAAGATTAAGACAAAAAAAAAAAAAAAGAGTAGGCAGCTAAACCATCTGAAACTCATATGCATAAAACAAGCTCTTAAAGGACCAGTAACACTTGGGTAAATAATGAGGCAAAGTGGCGCCTATTCCTCACAAACTCATTAAAGCACTAAAAAATGGGGGTGCCAAGTATGGACCCACTTCTCCATATGTTCCTTCCTTGATTGATAAAGTCAGTGGGAGCTGTCTGTTCCCTACTGACCGCTCTGTCCTTGCTAGACCGTGCTTGCCAGGAGGACAGTTTTTACTCCGGAGAGCACGTTATGATGATGAAATTCATGCTCTTTTGTCTACAGAAGATATTAAACCAAAAAGTTTGAGGACAAGGGGTTCCCCATGTATACAGGAACAGGAAAATGGGCTCCAGTGGACCAGCAGCTTAAAATACCCAGGGCAGCTTTAAAGGAAATGGCTACAGCTGTTCGTGCTTGGAGACTTCTGCCCTCCAGTGCTGCTCACCTACTCCATGGTCCTCAAGTAGCATGCTCCTTTACCTGCCACTGGGTTGCCTGGAGGGAATTGCTTTCTGCATCTCAGGAACCGTACACCGAAGCGGAGGGTATTGTTTTGTTTTCCTAGGGGTCAAACTAAGAACCTTGTACATGTTAAATAAAAGGGGGAAAAATCACTAAGCATTAGTTCCCACTAAATCTAGTGCTCAAGGCGCAGTGAACAGTTTTTAAAGTGTGACCTTTGCTCTGCAGACAGCAGCTTTACCCATCATATGCCTGGGTTTTCATTGGTCAACTACGAAGACTGAAGGTGCAGTCTGTTCTCTGCCCTCTCCTCTCTTTCCTTTAAGCATCAGTGGGACTTAAACCTAATTCTGCATTCATGTTAGGCAAGCGCTCTACCAGCGAGCTATGTCCTCGGCTGTCTTGTAATTTTTATGTTTGACACACAGATCTTGTCAAATGGCCCGGGTTTGCCTTATCCTTGCTTTGTTGTCCAGGCCTTGAACTGTGCAACCTCTTACCTCATATCCCTGACTAGCTGGGATTGTTGGCCCTAACAACTGGTTGCCTTTGAACCAACCCATGCCTCCGGAGTGCTAGGATTATAGGCTTGAGGCCCACCTTGAATGCTCATATTCATAACTGTCCTACCGCTGTGGGTATCTTCTCCTGATCAGTTGCTGCAGACACACATACTTTGCACTTAGTTGGGTATAAATATTACTCTTGCTAGGGACATAGCTCTGTGGTTACTGTGCAGTTGGAGCATCATTCTCCTTTGTCTCTCTCTCTCTCTCTCTCTCTCTCTCTCTCTCTCTCTCTCTCTCTCTCTCCAAGCTTATCTGCTCCGAGTCTCTGAACAAACGAAAGGCACCAAAAGCCCAGCTCTGCATTCTTGGAGGCTACTGCAGCTTCCTCCCCTGATGCTGCCCACGGTCCCGCCTAAACACTTGGCTTTTGACACATCATCATAAATGTGTCACCTGTAAATCCTCCTGGCCTTACACGACTTCCCTGTCATTGATCTCTGAGGTCAGTGAATCGGCCTGGGAGTTGCTTTGCTCAACGGTGGTTATACTTTTTAAATTTGACTGCTCTGGCTTACTGAATTGACAGAGAAACCTATTATCTTGGGGCAGAGAACTTCTTACTTACTTCTGACTAGTCAAGGGGAAAGAAACTCTCTGCCACAGAGTGACCTAGCATGTCACCACTTTTGTCAAATCACTAAACTTACCATCGGGGGACAAATGTGACATTCAATGCTTCCTAATGTCAAGCCACATGAATGGCACAGGAAGCGTTCAGTCCTCTAGTAGCTTGCAACGTGGAGAGCATACAAGGTGAAATGAAAATACATGAAAATGGGGCATGTTTCAAAATAAGTGGCTTGACCTCTTAGAGGAAAACAAAGGGGGGCTGAAGAGATGATGCTCATCAGTTAAGAGCATGTACCACTCTTGCAGAAGACCTAAGTTTGGGTCCCAGCACACATGGCCCGGGGCTTGCAACATCTGTAACTCCAGTTCTAGGAAATCTGGTAGTCTCTTTTGGTCTCAGTGTGCATAGAAATACACAGATATAAATAAACTTATTTTTTTAAAAAAATAATATTGTTGAGAGGAGATTAATTAGACTTTTTAAAGAAAGAGATTAAAAGCAACCTGAGATGGGAAAACATTTATAGAATTCTGCGTTGAAAACAAATGACAAGTAAAAGACACGGGGGAAATAAACATATTGACTGTAACTGGATGCTAAATGACAGGAGAGAATAAGAGTTCAGACAAGTGGGACAAGGGCCTCACAAGACAATGTGTTGTATGGATACTCAGAGTTGGGGTGCTATGTTCAAATTAATCCTGAGACAACATATCAAGCTCTTAGAAACCGTTCTTACCCGAAAGTTTCAACTCCTGACTTTGGCTCAAGAGGATAAAAGTCTGTTTGGTGCCTTCCTGTGTAACTGTCTTCTTAACTTCAGGCCTAACTCCTGATTAACTCTGCATAAGCGTGTTAACCACTCAAATCCTGTGTGTTAGCCACACCGCGGTGTCCCTTTCTGAGGGAGAATGTACAGATCATGTGAAGTGAGCATACTGTGCCAGAGACGGGCATGCTTTTTAAAACGTCTGTCTGGGGATGGAGCCCACATTCCAGCACAGTAGCAATGTTAAGAAGTTTAATGGAGGGCTGGAGTGATGGCTCAGAGGTTAAGAGCACTGGCTGCTCCTCCAGAGGTCCTGAGTTCAATTCCCAGCAACCACGTGGTGGCTCCAAACCATCTGAAAAGAGATCTGGCGCCCTCCTCTGGCGTGTGGGTATGAGACAGAAAGTTGTATACATAATAAATAAAAATCTTTAAAAAAAAAAAAAAAAGAAGTTTAATGGAAGCAGAACAGAGAAAATCCTAAGTAGACCGGCATACTGTAAAAGTGCCTCAGTGGAAACACTGCGAGTCTCCACGACAGGCTTCAGACGTTATCTGACAGCATTCTTAGCCTCTTGACTGATGGGAGGTGTGTGTCTGTACATTCTACAGGATTTACCTTAGGGTCACAAGGCTGTTAGATCACACACACAGGTAGGCAATATATGGCTCTACCAAAGGGTCAACAAATGCCCAGGTAATGTTGACTCTGGACCTGGAGCATTCTAATCTCTCCACAATGGGAGGTCTAAACAGTTAGTCAGACTTGCAGACCATTCAGTGGAAGGCCTTCTTTTCTGGAATGTTCTCTTACAACTATTAGAAGACTATTTTTCAGGAAAAACTATTATTATTGTTGTTGTTACTATTGTTATTATTACTATTGAAAGATTAATCTTATAATTCTGACCATTTATCTCACAATGGAATCCACATACCGTTCCCAGGCTTTGGTGTGTATGAGAACGCTACGGGCAAGGCAGAGAAGATGTGAGAATTTAAATTTTCGGCAGCACGGCCATCCCTTCGCTCTAGTCCAGCCTTGGAAGCCACCTTATACATAGAAGTCACAAAGTACAAGGGTTCGTCTGGATCTGACTCTCTGAGTAAAGGTCACAGCTGACCGCAGTAAACGTCCGCCCGTGCCCTCTGGCCTGGATTCGGGTCCAGCCCTCGGGGAGCCCTCCCGAGAGGACGCGACCGCTGGGAGCTCGGGTGACCGGAGGCAGACAGCTGCTCAGGCTGGGGCCAGGCCGCGGGAAGGGCGCAGGCGCGCCAAACTTCAAGGCCCCGCCTTCTCCTGGCATGACCACGCCCCCGACGCCTTCCGCAGGCGGTCACGCCCCTTGAATCCCCTCACTAACTTCGGCGCCTTCAGAGCCAAGATCCGGTCGGCCAGCTCAGGGTCGCTCCATCCTCCCGCCCCGCAGAAGCCACACCCTAGGCCACGCCCCGGTCTCCTCGCCACGCCCCCTGTGGGCGAGCCCCCACTGCGCCGCCCTTAGTACCTAGCTTTGCAGTGGTCTGAGCAGGCTGAAAGGAGTCATCATGGCAGCGGCGTTCCGCAGAGGCTGCGGGGTGAGCTGGGTGCGGGCCGGGATCGGGAGGGTCGGTGCTCTGCTACGCGGCCGGAGGAAGGGCGGGAGCCTGCGGGCCTCGACCCGCGCCGCTGACCCCTGCTTCGCGCTCAGCCAGGAAGGGGCAGATAGTTTTCTGGGTTATCCACCCTTCCCGAACTTGGTGGGAACCCGGTGTCAGAGCCGTGTTCTGGCGGAGGAGATTTGCAGAAAACTCTCACTACAATCCCACCCGGGAAGGCATCAGACTGTGTTGGTCTGCAGCTTCGGGTGTAAACAGATGTCAGGACCCTGACAGGCTGGTCCTGGGTGTGCACAACCCAGGGTTAGTCCTGATTGAAGGAAAGGGAAGTGGCTGCTGCTCTCCGACAGAATCGGTTTAGTGCTCCTGTGGTTCTGGAATGTTCAGGCACTCTTCCAAAAAACAGAAGAAACTTCATGAAGCCTGTATGTACACTTCAGCGTTTTGTCTTCTGAAGTCTGTCTTAGTCACTAACTAAACTAAAACTTTCATATCTTAAATATTATCGATGTATTCATACAAGACATCCACTTATGCCACTTAAAATAGCCTTTGACCCCAAAAGATGTAGTTTTAGAATTTACAATGATTCTATTGTAGTGATTGCCTTTCCCCCCTGGCCATCACAATACAAATTAATAGGCTCTGAAAGCAGAAATTGGAGGGTTTTTTAAATTAGTTTTAATTCTGACAACAGAGCTAAAGGATTCTTGGTACCTCCAAGGACAAATGAAGGAAAGTCCAACCCCATACCTAATCAGAAAATGCGCGTTTCTTTATCTGCTTTCCCACACTGCTAACCAAGCCTTAAATTTCTAAGAAAATTCGTTATTTAGCTGTGCTCTTGCAGATTTGAGGACTAAAGATACTACTGTTCCCATGTTTGGAATTCTGTTGTTCTTGGCAGAGAGCCGGGCGTCATCAACACTATTTTGACTAGAATCTCAGAAGATCCTATTTGTTGCTTGTTTACATTGGGTCTCACCTTGTGGTCCAGGCTGGCCAAAGCTCACAGCTTCCCTGCTGCCTTCCACGCACCCTCAAGTTGGGCTATCTTATTTAATAATCCCCAGTTATCCCCTAGAACGTCTCCAGAGGCGAATACACATTGTGTATTCGGAACTGTTCCAAGATAGGCATTTGCGAAATTTGGACTTGGTGTTGGGACACTAACTTCTTAACCCTGCGCTGTTCTTTACTCTCTTCTACTAAGTTACCCTCTACACACGCACACACACACACACACACACACACACACGCACACACGCACGCACACACGCACGCACACAGGACTGCTCATCCTGCACAGCCAATGAGCAGGCCCCTGTGTTAATTGGGCCTACCTAATTAAATGACTAGTATCAGTATTCAACTAGTTTTATAGAGTGGGGATCTTCATCCAGTCTCAGAAGTGGAGGCTGAAGAATTGGGATCCCAAGGCCAGCCTGGATTGCACAGTGGGCCTGTAGCCATCCTCAACTACCTTGAAAGAAGTTGTCCTAAAACAAACGCAAACCGGATTATTAGGGCTTAGCGTGGCGCCCTTGTGAGGTAGAGGTGGGTGGACCGCTGGGGGCTCAAGGCCAACCTGATCTACCAGGTGAGTTTCCAGGTTAGCTAGGGCTACCACTGAGACCTGGTGTCAAAAGCAAAACAAACAACGGCAGCAAAAATCTAGGCTCTGCGACACACACAACTGATTATGGTTTCTCTGCTTGTTTGTTGGTTTTGTTGTTCAGTATTTGCGACTCTTGCCGAGGGCCCAAGCTTGCTTCGCAGCACTGATGTTGGGTGTCTCACAAGTATCCATAACTCCAGATCCAGGGGATTGCAGGCCCTCCTCTTAAAGTGCTTGGCACTGACTATAAAAACATGGGTCTTGAATATGACCATATAGATGCTGTGCTCAGTTTGGAAGGTCAGCATAAATAATTTATTCATACATGGGTGTGTCTGTGTGGAACCCTTCGGCACACACAGAGCAGGTGTGGAAGTCAGAGGACACTAGTGGGAGTCAGTTTTCTCCCACCTCGTGAGTTCCAAGGATCACACTCCTGTTGCCAGCCTACACAGTAAGCACTTTTGTCCCAAGCCACCTCAGTGGCCTAGCCAGCATTCGTTCATCTGTTGATACTTAATTGATCAGATTTATTTGTAATACACCTGTCTTTTCCAGGTCTTAAGAAGTCTTTCTCATTTTGAGTGGCGAGCACAACACACGAAAGTGTCTCTCAAGAAGGAGCCGGGATTAGGGTTTAGTTTTGGTATGTGTGACGTTCTGTCCTTTGATCTGAAAATGTGTGTTTGTAAATGTGATGTCTGTCCATGGGTAGAACCCGTCACCACCCACAGATGGTTCACATCTGCTGTATGGCATCATGATCTCCGTACACGCCGTACATCCAGCGGTGTCGACAGGCTGTGTGTACATTATTCTTCCTCTTTCTCTCCCAAATGGATAGCCCAAATAAGCGAATATTTACCAATATACAGGAATTGTCTTCAACTTAGAAGTTAAATGTAACAAATACTTCTTTTTCCTTGGAGACAGACTCGCACTCCATAGCTCTGGCTGGACTGGAACTCTCTATGTAGACAGATAGGCAGCCCTGGAACTCACAAAGATCTGCCTGTCTCTCCCTCCCAAGTACTGAGATTAAAGGTGTGAGCAACCACACCTGGCTTAAGGAATATTAAGCTTCGAAACACTTCCTCGATTCAGTGCTGGATGTTGTAACAAGCTAAAAAAAAATGGCCTAATTTATGTGAGCTATAGTTTGATAGAATCATGACATTCTCATATCTAAGAGTAGAAGCAATGCAATATTGGAGAGACAAGAAGCAAGGGTTTTCTTTCCTTTTTATAAAATGAAACATTCAGGTCAAAAATGTGAAATATATCCTATTTTTAGGGTCCTTCATCCCCTAAAAGTCTTTAGCTTCAAATTTGTACCTTTCTCCTAGGTAGCTTTCTGGGGTTATTGGTTTTATACTTGAATATATAATATATACATACATTATATATTATTGAATATATATAATATTATATGTCTAACATATAAATATATAATATTTATGTACTAACCAGAATTAAACAAAGACTTTTCAAATGATGTGAGGATAGCAGATTGGATCAGTTGGGTTTGAAGATGGCCCCCTTTACTCTGCTATCTACTCTCAGCTTTTTACAAATTCCTACATCAGTTAGCACTGGCAAGGATCTGTGACAGCCTGCTGAGTGCCTGAGGGTGAGGGAGGTCGAGGGATTTAGGAGGGAGTTTGTGCGGCTCTGAATGAGTGCTGACCACCTCGGGCCCATCAGTCTGCTGCTGAGGAATAGAGACAGAGGTTTGCAACAAGATCAGTCACGTGAAAGCATTTCGCCAACAAATAGTGAAGTGCTGGCCGCCTTTCCTGCCTTTGACCAGCCCGTGGCCTTGTCAGGAATTGTCTCCAACCCTAGAAGTGAAGTTGTGACACAGAAAACACTGGAATAGCTGGGCAGTGGTGGCACACACCTTTAATCCCAACATCCGGGAGGCAGAAGGATTTCTGTGAGTCCACGGCCAGCTTGGTCTGTTGAGCCAGTTGCAGGACAGGCTCCAAAGCTACTGAGAAACCCTGACTTGAAAAACCAGAAGAAAACACTGGAACCAAGCTCCAGGCCTCTTCTGCTGAGACGTCATTGTAACGGAGCTCCCCTCCGCTCTGCCTTAGTCTCCTGCTTTTGTTTCTAATTGTACTCACTTTTAGTAATGATACAGCATAAAAACAGCGTGCTGGTCATTTTAAAGGAAGACCTTACGTTTGCATGGTGTCTGGCTGTATATTTATTTAATATATATTTGCCGACTAAAGTACACAGTATTCAGCAGTACCTAGTCTCCTTTAACGCTGGTCCTTCCTTTACATTTTACCTCTCAACGTCACCATAGAAATGATAGCGTAGTCATGGTCTTTACTTTCTTTCCTTCTCTCTTTTTCTCCTGCCTCTGCTGCCCGAGTGCTGGGTGTAAAGGCATGCGCCACTCCACCTGGCTCAGTCTTCTGCGCTTTAGCTCTTCCTTTAATCGCCTGCAACCCGCGATACCACCCTTAACAACCCCGTGGGACGAGATGGAGTCTAGAAACTCACACAGGATAGGCAGGTGCTCTACCAGTGAGCTACACTCCAGCTTCATTTTTCACATCGATGTACCCACATCGAAACACTAGGTACTACGAAAATGTAATTAACAATCTATATTCACTCTTGGGGGTCCAGACAATAGTCATCCCGTTCATTTTGCAATAACTAGTTTTATTTTGTGTAAATTGATTGTTTGAATGTTGCCTGTTAGTAATATAGAGGGTTCTATGTAGTTTTTATTATTTTGGAGAAATGTCTCATCCTTTTTACCAGTTTATTTGTGAGAACTTATATTCTTAAATGTGTTGGAGTTTAAAGGAAGAGTGAAATTTGAATTATGGTGTTGGTGTTCTTCTATAAGTCTTTGAAACAAGTTTTCTTACTGTACGCTGACCAAGTAAACCATGCCTTGTTTCTTTAAGCTGCTCCCTGAGGTCAGAAGCATGTCTTATGATAAATATAAATCTCCACATACTAACTTCATGGGGTTTCTTTCTTCAACTTGATTTCCTCTTGATGTTCTCAAAATAATTTTCCTCTAGAGTTGTCTGAACAGCAGAAAGAATTCCAAGCAACCGCTCGAAAGTTTGCCAGAGAGGAAATCATCCCAGTGGCGGCAGAATACGACAGAACCGGTGAAGTGGGTATCACCTTGTAGGGAGAAGAGTCTCGTGCTGTTATGAGATCACGTTACCATTGGCTGTAGTGTGACTGTGTTGTGTCGTTCTATCCCTTTTAGTACCCATTCCCCCTCATTAAAAGAGCCTGGGAACTTGGTTTGATCAATGCACACATTCCGGAGAACTGTGGTAAGCTTCCTTCACATTCTTAGTCCCAAAACTTAAAAAAAAAAAAAAAAAAAAAAAAACACAGAAATTGTCTCATCCCCTAAAATGTCTGTTGCCGGTCAGTGGCTTTCTGCCTTTGTTTCCCTATTTAGAGCACTCAGATTTGCCTGCTTTGGTGAGACTTTCCTTAGCATGGAGCGCAGGCATTTTCCTTGTCTAGCTGGGTTTGAGTTTGAGTTTGCTGAGTTGTTCTTTGTGTTATAATTTCTGCTCTGCATACACCGTCATACTACAGGTGGTCTTGGACTGGGAACTTTCGATGCGTGTTTAATTACCGAAGAGCTGGCGTACGGGTGCACAGGGGTGCAAACTGCTATTGAGGCGAATTCTTTGGGGGTGAGTTACTAAGAAAATAGCTTACAATGGTCCCTGTGAGACGACTCGGGGCATAAAGGCTTCTAACGGCTTGAGTTCCACCCCAGGAACCCCTGCGGTAGAAGATGACATCTGACTCTCCCAAGTTGTCATCTGGTCTCCAGAAGTGACCTGTGGCGCATGCAGACATACATGTACACACATGTGCACATACATACAAAATAAGTAAAATTATAATTTAAGAGCATGTTAATTGTTTGCCTGGGCTGTTAATGAGACGCCAACAGTAAAGTTAGTTTAAACTTTAGGGACGATTTGCCAGCCTGGCTTGGAGATATGATTGCCCAGACCGATCATGGTGGTTCCGTTGTCTCCGGGACTGGAGTTTTGGGTGTCCTTGTGAGGGAACTGGACACTTTGGCTACAGCCTCCTTGGAAGGTCTCAGGCAAGGCCTGAGGTGCTCAGAAGCCATCCTAGTGGCCTGCTGCCCACTTACTGAGCTGAAATCTACTGAGCATCTGCTCATAGACACCGCGTCCCGTATCCTAAGTTGAATCTGTGAGCATCTTACTGTTGTCAATGGTTGTGTACTGCCAACAAGCCTGCCTATAATGTGAGGAGCTTAGACTGGTAGACGTGGCTTCTTGCTCGGTAGCTTCCTAGTTCAGAGCAAATGCCAATTCTTTGAATTCACTCCTTCTGGGAGGCAGGTAGTTCTTTTTCATTTGTTGGACTGTGTTTCTGAAGCTGCTTAACTAATAAAACATCTTGCTGTCTTCATGTTAATTTTCCTTGGTAGCAAATGCCTGTGATTCTTGCTGGAAATGAGCAACAAAAGAAGAAGTACCTGGGGAGGATGACTGAGGAGCCAATAATGTGTGTGAGTGTGACCAGCCTTGGACTCCTGCTCCTCCTGCTTCCCCTGCTCGGTCTGTGGGCTTCCTGGGCTTGAACCCAGGACCTCATGCACACCAGGCTCTGTTCCCAGCCCTGTCCTGCTTTCTGTCCTCATCTCATGCAGTTACTTCTGCAGAGGGTACATGTTCCCTTCTTTCTTCTTACAGATTTTCCTTTCTATGTGAGATTTGACTTAAGCATCTCAAGGAAGCTGGTGTTTAATGGCCATGATTAGCATGGTTACCCTGTTTCCTTGTGAAAATCTCAAGGGCAGGCTGCCTTTTTACTATCTGATTTTATAGCCTACTATGTCATAAATATTAAATGACTATTCAACTAGATCAGTTTATATTAAGTTGAATTTAGTGAATTTGTTTGAATATACCTAGTATTTTAATATTTCCTATAGTTTATTGGAGTCCTGTGCCTAATTTTATTTACATATTAAATATTTTAACATTTGGGCAATTTATTTGGTTTTCTAAGAACTGTAACAAGTCTTTCTCTGTCCTGTCAGCCAGCTCCCAAATAATAACACAGGGACTTATTAGTTATGAAGGCCTGACCTTAGCTTAGGTTTCTCTTAAACTAAGTCTTATAATTTAAATTAACCCAGTTATATTAATCTGAGTTTTGATTCGTGGCTTTCTACCCCTCTCCCATCTTGTTCCTCCTGTTTCCCCTCAGTCCCGGCCTCTCTCTCGTGCCTCTCGATTTTTCTCCCTCTCTCCCCGCCAGTCTCTCTCAGAAGGCCCGCTAATACCTCCTTGCCTAGCTATTGGCTGTTCAGCTTTTTGTTAAACCAGTCACAAAGATGCATCTTCACACAGTGTAAGCGAACATCTCACAACATACAACCCTGTAAAGTTAGACATTGACTTATAATGCTACCTTCAAAGACCAAATGCAGGGTCTAGGATATAGCTCACTGTAGAACCCTTGCTTAGCACACTTGAGAACCTGGGTTCTTTCCTAGCACCACAAAACAAGCAAAATGATACTATCACCAGGCATTCACCATGTGATAATTAACGTTTATTTCCTCGTGTCCGTATGTTCAAGGCCTACTGTGTTACAGAGCCCTCAGCAGGCTCTGACGTGGCGGGCATTAAGACCAGAGCGGAGAAGAAGGGGGATGAGTACGTCATCAACGGCCAGAAGATGTGGATAACCAACGGAGGGAAGGCCAACTGGTACAGCTCCTAACCTCCGCGTCTTCCGAGGCTTCCTTTCCTCTTTTGTTCTTAAGTGGCTCGGCTAAAGCAAGCCGTGGTTTTGAAACTGGAAGGTTCATGTGACGATATAAATAACTCAGTGATGCAGTAACTATTTTAAGCCCCTGGGCTATTTCTTCCAGATTAATTTAAGAAGTCTAATGTGTAAAGTGTAGTAAAAATAGCTAATCTCACTGAGTTATCAGTTAGGCTTTACTGCCCCTGCCCCATCTACACTGGCACTTCCCTGGGACCCTAAAACTCTCAGGAAAAACACAAAGATATTCGTAGGATGTTTTTCTGGTTCTCGGTGGATTTGTGGTTCTTGGGTCGAACCTGGAGCTTTGTGCACACCAGGTAAAGACTATGCTGTGGTGCCCATCCCCAACAGAGGCATTCTTAAAACTTGAGTTGGACCGGGAGCCGTGGACAGTCCTTTAGTCCTAGCACTCAGGAAGCATAAGCAGGCAGATCTCTATGAGTTTAAGACCAGCCTGCTCTCCAAAGCAAGTTCCAGGACAACCCGGACTAGTATACAGAGAAACCCTGTCTCAAAACTGCTCCCTCGCACCCCCAAAAACCACTTGAGTCCTGAGGCCAGGGAGATACCTCAGTGGTTAAAGAGCTTACCTGGCATGCGCAAAGCCCTGTGTCCAACCCTCTGTATCATCTAAAAATAAAAACCAAACCATTCCTGGTCACGTGCTCCTGTATTTCTAGCACTTGGAGCAAAGGTAAAAGGATCAGGAAATATAAGGTTCTCTTCAGCCACATAGCAAGTTCCAGCCAACCCGGGCTCATGACACCCCCTCAAAAATTTAGGGCAAAAACCTGAGTTTATGCACAAAAGAGGGCAGTAGTTGAGGTTAGCGACGTCTAAAACTTCCAAATATGTAGGTGTAAAGACAATTACATAAAGTTCCATTAAACATCAAAAATCATTTACATAAATATAGATAAAATATTAAGAATTCCTGATCATTTGTTAAAGAAGAAAGTTTAATAAACTATAAATTTGGTGGGATTGGCCGATGAGGGGCCGAGTGATTCCAGGCTGAGGGAGCAGGAGTAGAGGCTAGCCTGGAGTTATCACAGCTAAGATACGTCTCGACAAAAAGGATCCAGATGCAGTTAGTTATGGGAAGCCTATGAAACATGCTCAGAAACATTTTGTCTGGGTTAATTTGGAATACGGTTAGAATTTAAATTTTCAATTATATTTCATGGAAAAGAGAACAGAGTTGTATACAGTGGCACATGCCTTAAGTCCCAGGACTTGGAAGACAGGAATATCCAAGGTTTACTGAGAGACTCAAAGGTAGGTAGGTAGGTAGGTGGTAGGTAGGTAGGTAGGTAGGTACCTTCTTGACCTTTTGACTAAGATCAAATGGAGTAGACTTGCATGGTTACTTCAGGAAGACAGTTAAGAATTAATGAATGATAGAAACTCTAGCTCATTTTAAGGACAGTCTTTCCAATAATAGGGCCCGTATGCATTGTCTCGGGAAGTAGAGTTTTTGTCTATTACTGTAAGTATAAGACAGAGGACTTCTTAAGGCAGGGTTTAGGGGATGTCTTAGTTACTCTATTGCTGTGAAGAGAAACCATGACCAAGGCAACTCTTACAAAAGAAAGCCTTTAACTGGAGGCTTGCTTATAGTTTTAGAAGATTAGTCCATGATCATCATGGTGGGAAGCAGACAAGAGCAAAGACCATAAATTATTTCTTGGACCAGCAGGGAGGCGTGGGAATAATTGAGGCACACCTCACATGACTTTATCGGGAGGGAGTTTTCAGGATCCCTCATGAGATCCTGAGTTCACATCCTGAAAATCCACTCACGTTTCTTCTCCAAACAGCTTTTATACCAAAATGTAAACCGAGGGGGAAATTCATCAGCATTCTGTTTCCAGGGTAGTGGGACTTAGGTCGCGTCTGCAGCTCTGGCTGCTCTGGCACGCAGACGGAATTAACAGCTCTTTCCCAAGCGACCTCCCTAATTACAGAGAAGGAGCAGAGCGACCTTAGCATATCCTGACCCTCTGTCTAGGATGGCGTCAGTTTGTCTCAAAAGGCTAGGTGTCCACCTTCTGTGTGGCAGGTACAACCTGTGGCCTAAAATTCTGGCCGCCACACCATGTAAAAATATGGGCCTGTATAACATGGCCCTACACACACCTTTTCCACCAAGGCCACACCTCCTGATTCTCCTCCCCAGTGACTGAACATTCAGATATATAAGCCATAGGTAGGAGATTAGGGTGGAATTTTTTTTGTTTTGTTTTGTTTTTGTTGTTGTTTTGGACACAGTTTCATTCTGTAGCTCAGGCTGGTCTAGAAGTCACTGTGGAACATAGTCTGAACTCAAACTCATGGTGATCCTCCTGCCTTAAACTCCCGAATGCTAGGATTACAGGTCTGACCCAGCACAGCCGACTCTGAAAAGGGGTCTACGTCAGTAGATTTATGTGATGAGCAGTGTGGGAAAGCATCCCACCGTGGTGGACTGTGCTGCTCACAAAATGAACACCTATCGTGCACAGGCGTCAGGGCTGGGACTAGGAATCTGGAAACTGTTTATTCTGAATATTTACCTTTTGAGTATCCTAAATGAGGCCGGTACTACATTCAGTATCCTGATTCAGTATCCGTCAGAAACAGCATCATTTCGTACCCTCACACCACATCAGCAAGTAATAAAGAAGTAAAGAAGCCATGAAAATTGAACAAGCTAAGGGAAATATAATAATGCAATTAAATAATCACAGTTTTGAGAACCGATTATAATTCTTCCTGGGGAAGACAAGTTCGGTGAGTCATGAAATTAGAAAATAATTTTGTCTTTTCCTACTACCACGTAAAATTATACTCAGTGATAAACTGACAAATTATTGGGGTTTTTAGCATAAAAACTAATTTATTGCTTAAGGGAGACTAAAACGCTCAATTGCTCTCTTCTGTCCTTCAATGCTAGGACTGACTAGTCCAAAGCTCAGCATGGACTCGAGCCATATGACTTTTTGTCCTTTTGTGAAGGTTCCAGAAAAAAAAAAAAATCTGTATCACGATATATGGAAAAGTAGTTTGAATATGAGGAATTCCCCTCTTTATGCTGTTTTTCTCAATCCTTCTGGGGAAAACCCGTAAATATCCCTAGTAATTGAGGTACGGTGTGTGCACTGGCTTTGCTGCACCCGGAAACCATCCTGACAGCAGCCAGAGTCCTGCCCGTTCATTCTACGGATCACTTGTCCCGTCAAAAACAAAGACCGGCTCGCGAGGAGCGGTCCAGCTCCTACACACGTGTTCTGCTTTCGTGTTGTCTTGGCTGCAGGGATTTTCACTAATGGCTCATATTCGCCCTAAAGTTAATACCCATTAGTTGAGAAAGAGGTAGTTGAAAAGTCTGGCCACAGTGGAACTGGAATCTGTGCGCGTTCATTTCCTTTCCTGTTAAGTGGGGGTGGTGATGCTGTGGCTGTCAGCAGGGAGCTGAGACAGTAATCAGTGTGTTGTTATTGCCTTCAGCGTGCGTTTCTGTGCCTTAGGTATTTCTTGTTGGCGCGCTCTGACCCAGATCCTAAAGCACCTGCTAGTAAAGCCTTCACCGGGTTCATTGTGGAAGCTGACACCCCAGGAATCCATGTCGGAAAGAAGGTAAACAGCGTGTCTCTCAACGCTTGCCTCCCTAAGAGCAATGTCAACTGTAAATGCCAAAATTCTTATTTCTTTGCTTTAATGAAAAAATTTTAAGTTGTATTAAAAGTTGAGTTGTGTCTTGATGATATTGGGGACATAGTTTGTATGCCACTAAAAATCTTTCAAGTCATTTTGAATAACGAGACCTTTGTTTTTGCTTTTTTAAAGATTTATTTATTATGTATGCAATGTTCTGCCTGCATGTTTGCCTGCAGGCCAGAAGAGGGCACCAGATCTCATTATAGATGGTTGTGAGCCATCATGTGGTTGCTGGGAATTGAACTCAGGGCCTCTGGAAGGGCAACCAGTGCTCTTAACCTCTGAGCCACCTCTTCAACCCCAGACGGGCCGTTTGTGCAGAACACATTCATGATGGCTGTAGCTGTGGAGAGAAGCCTGGCTGCTGTGATTGCTGCCTCACCATAGAGTATGGGTCTCTCAGAGGACACCTTCTTCCATCCCAGTGACTCGGCACAAGCTTTGGTTAGGACAGTTAAAGCCATGTGATGTAGATGGATTACCCACAATCCAACAGCATTAACAGAAGCAGCTGTACCTTGGAAACATGAAGATGTCCCTCTGTGTTGTGGTGGGGGTGGGGTGGAAGAGCGTGTTAAGTAAGAAAGGCAGTGGCATGTCTGTATATCCCGTCTCTGTGTGCAGATAATTTGTGTCTTAGCCACAGAGAGCTTAAAAGACCACACATCAAAGGAGAGATATTGTAGGAATATCGTCAGAAGTCCTGGTGAGAGCTTACACGTATGGCTTAAGATTATAACCCTGGTTGAAATGCTTCGCAAAGTGGAGATTTTAAAGAAAGTTGTTGGCGATGAGGCCTGCAGCTATGACAAAGGAGGAATTGTGGAGATCAAGCCAGAGTTCTAAAGTTACCTGAACAAAGTCTTCCTCCCACGTGGAAAGGTTCGGATTACCTGGTCAGATGTCGGAACTGGTCTCCTGAGGCTGAGCTGAAAAAGCGAATTTGAATTGATTGTTAATATAAAACAGATTTCTAAGTCAACTTTCTGTGTTTATGGAATCTGCCGTAGTGTCCAGGTCTCTTTAGAAATGTGTTGAGCGTGAATTCTAGTTGGTCTTAATAATAAAAACCCAGAGTCAGATGTAGGGGTTAATGCTGAAGATCAGAGAAGCAGAGAGGCCAAGCACTGGAGAGTTCTTTCCTCTACCAATGCTCAAACCGAAGGGGTGAAGGGGAGATCCTCTCCTCAGGCCGCATCTCCAGACTCCTCCAGTGAGCTCCTCCTGCCTTATAGTCCTCTCACCGCCCTAGGGCTGGGATTAAAGGCGTGTGATCCCAAGTGCTGGGATCACTGTTTGTGTGAACTCTTCTCTTTTAGACAAGATTCAATCTTGTGTAGCTCAGAGTGCCCTTGAACTCAGACACCCCTCTGCCTCTGTCTCCTGGGCCTCTAGTGACTTAGCTCTGCACTCTGATCTTCAGGCAAGCTTTGTTAAAACATAAACAGAATATCCCTCCAGAGGATGTAAAATTTATAACTTCTGCCTGTAAAGAGTCCAGTTCCCAAGTAATGACACAAAGACTTCTAGTAATGACGAAAGCTCGGCCTTAGCTTAGGCTTGTCCCTAACTAGCTTTTGTAACTTAAATTAACCCATATCTTTTCATCTATGTTCTACAACACGGCTTTTTACCTTTCCTTTATTTTTACCTCCGACTCCCTCTGTATCTGGCTGGCAACTCTGCCTTTCTTTTTCCCAGAGTCCTCTCTGTTCCCTGAAGTACCCCACCTCTTCTGCCCAGTTCTTGGCCATTCAGCTCTTTATTACACCACTTGCATTGTACACCTGTCCCACAACAGCTTCCAGGCAAGGGAGGGCACGCCTTCAATCCCAGTGCTCCAGAGGCTGAGGCAGGAGGATCACAAATTCTAGGCCAGCTTAGACTATTTACCGAGACTCTTTGTCTCAAAAAAGGAGGCAAGGACGGGGCTTCTCTTTTAGGTCATGGAAGTTTAAAGGCTGAGCCCTTGTGTGCTGTTTACTTCAGCCCGTTTGCTGACTCCAGAAACCAAGGTCCAAGTAAATGATTTACTGACTGTCTCTGACATTGTCTTTTACTAACAGACAGAATTTTGGCCTGTGCAATTTCTGATGCCATATTATGGTATATTTTTAAGGGATTATATTGACGGCAGACTACGCTTTACAAATAGGCTTCCAACACCATGTGTATGACAGAATGAGCACCGTGGGTAGTCACGCTTCCCCAGAGGTTGGCGTGTGTGTGGCAGCTCATGCTCTCCCACTGAGAGGTGGTTCCTGGCAGACCCGGGGCCAAGTCTGGCCCATCTCAGCTAAGGAGCCTCAGAACTTGTACTTTACCAGTGGCAAACTGGAATGACAAGTGATGTTGTCTTATTGTTTCTGATCTCATTCTCACTTAGTAAAACTCTAGCTGAATCAGTATCTATTACTGAATGCAGTATCTAGTAGGTACTGATAAAAATTTCTACCCCTGGGGACTTGCTTCCTAGTGAGGGGGTGTAGATATTTTCATTATTAGCTACTTAGCTCCTAAAATGCTTATAAATTTACAAATCCGTGAGATTCATACTGTAAATTTCTTTTGTCTTAGGAATCGTGTACTTTGAGATGAGTCTGAGAAATATTCTGGGTTTTATGAGACAAGGCCTGACTGTCCTGAATTCACTGTGTAGACTAGGCTGGCCTTGAACTCACAGAGATCCGCCTGCCCCTGCCTCAGGAGCCTGGAATTAAAGGCGTGGACCACCACACTTGACCTTGTTCTACGCCTCTAACCTTTTACTATGGCTAATTTATATAAACTGGGTTTTATTATAATTATATGAAAAGCCATTGTGTGTAAAGGACCTAGTACTATACATTGCCAGGTTCCTGCTTCCCCACAGCATACAAAGTAAATAAATGCCCCCCAAAAATAGGAAAGAAAAGTCCATGTTTTGTTCAGTAGATCACTTTGCTGATGATTACAGGCTCTAAGATTATGTTTGCAAAATAATTTAACAGAGAGAAGGTGGCCTTCAGACATGAACAAGGTAAGTTGCTATATAGAACTTTAGGCTTGTGCTGTTTTCAGTTTGTTAATACTGTTTTTGATCAGGGGCTGGCGCATATTCTAGAAAGACCCAGAAACATGGCAGGCTTAGCAGGTGTGGGATCTCCTGCACAACTCAGCTCTGAATTATAGTCTCGGGGTAGCCACAGAGGATGAGCAGAGGTGGGTGTGCTCCTGCTCCATGGAGGCTCACTTCTCGGAACAGGAACAGCAGGCCCTGCGTTGTGGCCCCTGCTTTAGGTGACTGCAGAGAGGCACAAAGGGACAATCGACTGTGACAGCGCCGGGACTCTTAGGTGCTCTTCTGTGATCTTCTTGCTAGGAATTAAACATGGGCCAGCGATGCTCCGATACAAGAGGAATTGTCTTTGAAGATGTCAGAGTGCCTAAGGAAAATGTTTTAATCGCTGAAGGAGCCGGTTTCAAGATTGCGATGGGGGCTTTTGATAGAACCAGACCTACAGTAAGCTGATCATCTTTGTGGGACCTTGTGTTTGTGGTTTTCAATGAGGTTTATTTTAACATTGCATGCCTTTTTTTGGGGGAGGGGGTAGTGGTGGTGGGGAGGAGATTGTTACATGTACTATATTTTTCACCTTCTTTTGCTGCTCAATATAGAAGCTATTTTAGCAGACGCTAAACTACTGTCTGCTAGATTTCCAGAAAGCTCACCCCTGACTTGATCATTCTTGTTGATTGTGGATCACTGTGTATTCTGCCGCTCACTTAGAATGAGTCTGTGGAAGGAAGGCTCCCTGGTTAAACAGTAATGGCTTTTCTCTAGGCTGTGTGCCTCAGCCTCACACTTGACCTATTTATTTATTTATTTATTTATTTACTTACTTATTTATTGCACAGCAATGGGATAAACTCAGGGTCCACTGAAAGCCAAGCATGCACTCTTTGCCACTTAGCTGCCTTCCCAGCCCCTGCCATTACCTTTATTATTTATTAAAATAATAAACCCCAGGGCTCCTTCCTTCCCCCACCGCAGTGACACCACTTGACTGAGACAGGTAGTGTTGTGTTGTGTGGCTTGACAACAGTGTCAACTTTTGTGTCACTTGGTGTTAACGTCCTAGGTAGCAGCTGGTGCTGTTGGGCTAGGCCAGAGAGCTCTGGACGAAGCTACCAAGTATGCCCTGGAGAGGAAAACGTTTGGAAAGCTGCTAGCAGAGGTAATCTTTCACTCTCTCTGAGTGTGAACATGTGTGTGTGTGTTCGTGGGTGAAAGCATACTTTTGCACATTTATGTGGAGATCAGAGGATAACTTTGGGTGTTAACAGGAGAAGTTCTGTTAGCTTTTTTTGGTTCGTTTTGTTAAAACAACAATTTCTCACTGGCCTGGGGCTCATCAGTTAGATTAGGTCAGCTCAAGAGACCTGCCTGTCTCTGCCTCTCTGATGCTAGGATTCCTGGGAGGCACCTCTGTACCCAGCTTTTCTCATGGGTTCTGGGAATCTGAACTCTGATCCTCAGGCTTGTGTGGCAATCATTTCGCTGACAGCTATCTACCCAGCTCTTCAGGAGGTGGTCTATGTACTGTGTTTGCTGTGTTGAAATTTAAATACACTTATTTTATCTAAATATTTAGAAGTTACTTTTAAAGAAGAAAGTAATCGGTTTTGTCAGGAAGAAGACTATAGTTCATCACAATCGCTTGTACATTTTCTCAGCCAGGTGGTTGTGACGTACACTTTAATCCCAGCACTTGGGAGGCAGCAGCAGGTGGATCTCTGTGAGTTTGAGGCTAGCCTGGTCTACAAGAGCTAGTTCCAGGGCAGCTAAGGATACACAGAGAAACCCTGTCTCGAAAAACCAAAATGCAAGAAAGAAAAGAGTACCCTTGTTTTGACAGTGTCACTTACAATTGCTCACCCTGTAAATTATATTAGGAAAAAGAGTAGGTAATATTTAAGGTGCCTTCTGTATACGTTTTCTGGTAGCCCTGGCTGGCCTGTATGTAGACCAGGCTACCCTCAACCTCACTGAGCTCCTCCTGAGTGTTTCCGTCAAGCCTGGCTTCATGATTATTTCTGGTTGTGGTAACTTCTCCTTACTTCTTTCTGCATCAGCTCCCTGTCTGGTAACGTTGGGATGGTAAAGATGGCTTCCTGTCCCACTTCCTCTAACTCTGTGGATCCTAGCTTTTGTGTGCTCTCTCTCTAGCCATAACTTCTGCACTGAGCTCCAAGCTGAGATTTAAAGATGGTTCCTTATCATTTCCAAACCAAAGATCACTTCCTGTCCTTCTTCTCTTTCCCTCTTCCTTAATTTTCCCTTTAATTATTCTCAAAAATTCAGGAGGCTTCACCTGAGACCCAGCTGGATTCCCAGTATCAACCGCAGCACCATTTTAGTGTTCTGTCTGCCTTTACTGGCTCTCTCGTTTCTTTCAAATTCCACTCACTTCCCGTTCATTTCATTGCACCTCCCTCTGTTCACTGTACGCGGGAACATCTTCACGTCCATTATACCACAGCGTGCTGAGTGTGCCCTCACTCTGTCTTCACACCCATTACATCACCTACAGCGTGCTGAGTGTGCCCTCACTCTGCCTTCACACCCATTACACTACAGCGTGCTGAGTGTGCCCTCACTCTGTCTTCACACCCATTACATCACCTACAGCGTGCTGAGTGTGCCCTCACTACCTTCACACTCATTACACCACAGCGTGCTGAGTGTGCCCTCACTCTGCCTTCACACCCATTACACTACAGCGTGCTGAGTGTGCCCTCACTCTGCCTTCACACCCATTACATCACCTACAGCGTGCTGAGTGTGCCCTCACTCCCCGCCTGGACGCTGCTCCATGTGAGGTGGGGTTTCTATATTAAACTTCCTCAGCTTTAGTCTCACTTAACAAGTGTCACTGAACATCTGCCGCACATACCAACTCATTCCGTTCCCCCAGTGCCGTGGAGCTGGCCCTGCCGTTTTCATTTACTAGCAGGCCCAGCTAATAAACCACAGCACTAAGACGTGGACCCAAAGGATCAATCATTTACAGATCCTGTTCTCCGTGTGCAAAGGAGGCTGGGCAGTTTCTGCCCCTGAGAACATCTGTTCTGGAGATAAGTTCCTCCTCATAGAGCAAGTGCTCACAAAGAAATGGAGCAGCTTTTAAGTCCCCAGATGAAACCTATGAAGTGGAGTTACCAGACTCAAAAGGAGAGCGGCTACCGCGGGTTGAAGATGCTGCAGCGAGGTGACTCCTGTAAATCACCTTCAGCAATTGATAAACGCACCTGCTTTGGGCCACCTTAGATTAACCCCAAGTCTGGAGCGGTGGCACTCAGTAGACTCAGGCAGTAAGCGTTTTAGGCAGCTTGAACTACATAACAAGACCCTGTTCGATAATTAATTCATTAATCAAAAACAAGATGTGTATAGTGGCACACACTACAACCCTTCCACCTGTAACACGTGTTACATGCCAGTCACGACACAGCACCTGCCGTCTCTTCGGAGAGGGTTGGTTTTCGTCTCCCGTTTGGTTATGACAAGAGCAGGAAGCATCATGTGCATTTTTCCATCTCTGTAACAGCTTCCCTTTGAACTTGGCAGACATACCTGAAATCCCAGCCTCTCCGGAAGCTGAGGATCACAAGTATGAGGCCACGTGGGCTGCTCAGAGAGTCTTGTCTGATAACAGGTGCTAGCTCCAGCCCCACATTTTATTCATTCGGGCCCCCACTGTGATGTCTGGATCTCTGCAGATGCTTGAGGCATAAGAATGCCTGGTTATCTGTGCAGCTGAACCCAAGACCTCATCCTAAGAATGGGAAAATGTAGATAAGCCAAATCAAGAAGAAACTTACCAAAAAAATCCATATTCTTCAGAAGGGCAAAAGTCAGGAGATAAGACAGGAATTGCATGGTCTGGGGGCGGGGGATTCTCTGAGGTAGTAACTACAGCAGGGTAGGTCTTGATCAAGATCAGTGTCAGCTATATAGCAAGACTGT